ACACTTCCAGTACTCTGTACAGAACAATTTGGATGACAGTTATGGCATTGTTTCACTTTGCGTTACTACTCCTTTACAAATGGCCTTACTAATGTAGTGGGGGGGGGAAGATGAGGACAGACTCAAATAATGTGGGGGGGGGATGTTGTATTAAAAGAAAGCTGAGACTGCCCATTTCAGTAGCAAAATTGAAGTTAGAAATTCATTTTTCCAAGTCTATTTTTAGATTTTAAGTGTTTCTAGAACTTATGAGGTTGGGAGGAGTGATATTTTTCACTAAGACTGTAAGGTTGGTTGAATAGTTTTTGATATATTAATTGTATATATTGTACACATTTTGTGGCAGAGTGCCAGAGGATTTTCACATTTTTTTTCTTTAATTCCCATGTGGTGGCTATATTCCAGGTTGTATAAACTAGCAAAAATTCCTGTAGCATCCTAAGTCATTGTGGCATATGTTTCTGTGGACCAGGTACTGTTTCTCAGTTTCAGCATTGCAGGCTTTAACTCATAAAAGATTTGGTGGATAAGTACCTACATTAGGGATATTTGCAAAATGGATATAACTTTACAGGATTGCAAAACATAAAAGCCTAACTCTCAGTGTAAAAATCTTGGTTATCCAATAAGCTGTACCAGTGAGCCTATGGCAGATTGTAAGATCTAGCTTCTAAACATCCCTGTGTTCATAAAGAAATTTCAGGATTTTGTATTTTAAAATGATGGAAGAGAAAAAGAGAGGGGAAGGCCTCATTTGGCTGCAACACTAAGCCATGAATTGATTTTACAAGAATTAACCGCAGCAAGTCACTGGCTATATTCTCCCATACCTGATAGGATTGTGGCAAAGCATTTAGCAGCTTTGCTTCAATTTTAAATTAATTGCAACTTCTTATGACATCAAACCTGGCCAAACTGTAGCTAATCTTTTTCAGAAAAAACCAGTTGTGGACAACAGTAATTTATGAAGCTGGCTTGTTTCAGCAAATCATTATTAACAAGAACATCAATGTAGACTTCAGACAACATTAAATCAATGTTGTCTGATAAATTACTATTAATCAAAAATGGAAGCAAAGGCTTCTGATCTCTTCCTGATGGCCATACCAAACAGCATGGGGACCCAGAATACCTGAATCTAAAGGTTAGTCAGTTCATACCATAATTTAATATTTTGTATGAATGTGACTAGAGAGGACAAAGAAGAGATCTTGGAAAGAAAAAATATGTCCTGTGTATTCATTCTGTTTTCTTCATAGTTTCTCCAAATATTACTGATTTATTTTTACTAGTACATGATTTATACCAAAGCTTCTCTAGAAATTCAAGTGACTTATGGAATAACAATCACATAGGCAAATTGGGCCATTCATTGTCATTTGAGAAAAGACAGAGGATGAGGCAAGATACACTATTTCTATCAGAATGCATTAATTCAAACTTTCACAGAATTAATTCCATAAAAAATCCAGAGGAGGCAGACTTTATGCTGGAAAAGATCCTAAATTCTAAATTACTTTTAATAAGTAGAATAATCCCCACTTGAAATGTTATCAGTTCCATTAAAAAAAAAAACTTTATTAAATTTTAGTAAAGAGTAAAATATAGAAAAATCAAGAAAAAAAGATAGCAAAAGAAAGAAAATACAGAAGAGAAAAAGTAATTTCTGACTTTCTTTGGTACAGATATAGATATAAAACACATTCACCTCCTACTCTAATATTTAAAAAGCTACAAAATAAATCTATATTAGCAAAAAATATTAAAAACTTAATACAAAGTATTTCTACAGTTATAGAATAAATCAGTAATCAAACCCGAAAATCAGAATTTTTTTTTTTTTTTTTGAGTCTCAGGTAAAAAGTCCAAGAGTGGTTTCCAAATAGAAACAAAGCCAGGAAATGATTTTTCTTTAATCAAGAACTTTAATCAAGATTTTTCTTTAATCAAGAAACATATCCATTCTTCAGCTGTAGGCGTTTGTAAGTCTTTCCATTTTTACGCAGGGATCATGAAGTGATCTTAAGTATGCCACTATTCCTCAGATTCTTTAGAATAATATTGTCTAATCTCATCTGAATGTTCTTAGGGTTTTCTGCATAATATACAGTATATGGGATATTTTGTATCCATCTTCATCATGATCATCACCATTACCTGTATTAAAACTCAATATTGGCTTTGTAAAGTAGGAACCTTCTCAATTATGGAATATGATTATATAAATTAGAATGTTCATCTCTAAGACAGGAGAGAGGTTAGCCATGAAAGTGGTTGAATGATCTGGGACAGGTGATTTTTCCCCCTCCTCCTAACCTCCCTTATAGACATATTGTGTAAGGAAAGGCTCTGGCCAAGGGATGTGGTGCTATATAAGTATGTTAGAGGTGGCATGCTGTATTTTGCTGAGCTGGAATTCAGTGTCCCAAGTGTCCTTGAAAAAAAGGGCCCTTTATTAATGCTGAATGCAATGGCTAATCATTTCATAGGAAAAAGGATGTTTGAAACTCAAGTGCATTGAGCCCTACACAAATAGAACTGTTCTTGAACGTTGAGTATTTTCAGCAAGACTTGCAGTATTTCTAAAGACATTTTCCCAGTGTATTATCTGATTCCTAATGCAGAATTAAACAGACTTTTAAAGCTTCTTCCAGGCTAACATCTCTATAATTTCAAGGAAACTACTGAAACAAAATTTTAAAAACCCCAATGAAATTTCTCAAGAGAAGTTCTCAGAATGTCTGAGAATCAGAAAAAACTCCAGCATTTTAATGTTAGAATTATTATTATAAATCTGATGCATGTACTGAGGCTTGTAAACCAAACAACAAAATTGTGATCCAGACTTCAGTGCTATCACTATATTTTAATATCAGATGAATAAACAACAACAAAATAATGCTTATCCCCAATGCATTTATGCAATAGACACTTCTTTGCCTGCCTTTTATTTTCTCTCTCTCTGTGGTATACAGCTGTAAATTAATCTTGCTTCATAATAAATGTTTCTTTTTAGTAGCAAATTAACATAGTTCCCTTTAGGGGCAATTGAAGTTACCTATTGCTAGAGTAATCTGTCCAGTCGTGAAACGTTGTTGAGTATTTGGCTTCTATCCATACTTTCTCTCTCATTTTAGCTCACTAGCTTTTTTTATGAAAAGAATATAGAGATAATTCTCTCCCTTCTTCTTTTCTAGTTAATGATTGTGTTATAGTCCAACCTGTCTTCCTGACTCATCTGATTTTTCAAGTTTTTCTAAAAAAACTTCCTCTTCAATTTATAAGCAACATAAAGCCCTGGTGACTCTTATTTACTCTTTTTCTTTTTCTTTTTTCTTTTGTCTTCCTGGACTGTTGCAAACAGCTGACTGCTCTGTGTCAACAACCATTTTGAGAAAGAGAAGGGAAAAGCAACAATGAGGTTGTCATCTAACTGGTTTTAGACAAAGTGATACTCCCTAAGTTTTTTGTTTCTTCTCTGTCTCTTCTTGACACAGAATTGTGTTGTCTTTTTAAAGTAGTTGGAATGCAAATGATAGGCAAGCAAAGATAAGAAAGAGCAGGGCCCATCAATGACAAAGACAAGGAAGATTAGAAGGAAAGAACAAAATGTGAACAGAAATCTAATAGCAGTTTTTGAGCTCATAAAAAAGAAAATCTAGCAGCTTTTCCTTCCTTGATACTGCTTTTTGAAACATATGTATACGAAAGAATACATATCTACATATTTATAAATCCATTTTCAAAGTTTCTGTTGAATCTTGCAGTGTTTTGTGGTAGAGAAATGCAGAGGCATGTTCAGAAGGAACAATAGGAGGTAATTGTGAATTAAGGGTATAGAAATAGGAGAGGACTTCTAAAACTGATAGTGAATGGGAAAAGACGATGCATTCTGGAATAGATGCCAACAGACATTTAATGAATATAAAAAAAACAGTTCTGCTTAAAAATCTTTTAGACCCATTCCCTAAAATTGGAGGCATGCAGGTCTACATACAAAAACTAAACATACCTATTTTATGGAATCTGTAAACAGTAAGAAGTAGTGGCAGCCGTTGTTTGAATTTAAAAAGGGACAAGGAAAAAATATGAGTAATGGACACTGGCTGACACTGAATGAAACAAGAGAAACAAGAGGAGTGGAAAAAATCAACATGGGAACCCCTTTTGATTTCATGCTCTGCTTGTGGCTTCTTAGAGGCAATTGGCTGAAATACTTATTATCCCCTTTGAAAATTCTTGTTTCTTTTAAATTCAACATTCAAATGTTATTGCTTTAAAAAAAGTGAAGTTGTATCATCACACCTTGTTGTATACCACCCAGAGTCATTTGTTTGTGAGATGGGTGCCATATAAATTTGATGAATAAATAAGTAAATAAAAAATATGTGTAGTGTCATTTACCTACCTCTTTGCCTCTCTGGATCGGCCAGAATTTATCATCAAGAATCTGTGGCCCTTGGTCTAATTTCCATCCCTTCTCTCCTAAGAAACAAAGAGTTCAGTGATTATCTGTTCCTTCCTTGTAGTCTCATCCTTGGGGGAAAAGAATGGTTTGTCAGAGAAAATAGGGGAAATCCTACTCATGTTTGTCTCTAGCCTCAGCCACTGTCTGCTTCAGCCTTGCCTCATGTGGCTTCTAATAAATTATTTTGAAGGGAATGTGGCCCTCAACAGGAAACAGGTGGCCATGTCTGAACTCTTAGGGAAAATAGAAGAAAAAGAATATTTGGATGACTGCATTACTCATTTCCAGCATTCTCTAACAGTGATCCCTGCTATCCAGGTTAATAATTATGTTTATGTAGCTTGTGTTGAATACCCAAGGTATATGAATGAACACTGATAGCAACAAATACAAAATCCTGTATCCAGATATTTCTATGAATAAAAAGGTCCATGAGAGTAAATGTATTGGCTTAAGTGTGCTCAGTTGTCTTTCTCATAGAACTCTAACCTAAAGAACATCTGAAATGTTAACTTTTTTTTAATGTGTTTAGGTCTTCAGCCTTATGAAAACTACCACTTCACACTCACAGCATGTACGTTTGCTGGATGCTCTACTAGTCAGACAAGTGCAGGTAGAACGTTGCAAACTGCTCCTCAAGGTAAAGAGTAATTTATTCACCTTTAAACCATCTATACATGTGAACTATAGTCAGGACACTATATCTAGGCACTGATTTAAAAACAACAACCATTCCTCAACTCCTGGTTTGTTCAGCCTTCTCCCCACAGAGGAATTATGTTTAAATGGACCTAAGCAGAAAAATTGAAGAAAGGAGGAAATGGCAACCCAAGGTAAATAAAGAAATGTTTAGAGAGCACCTGGCTAACTTTCTTAGTTGTAAGCCACCCAGAGTCATTTGGGAGTTGGGCAGCCTATAAATTAAGTAACAATAAATAAATAAATAAATAAATAAATAAATAAATAAATAAATAAATAAGTGTAAGTTCCAGTAGAATAGAACACATAGACACAGACACATAGAAATAAACCATATTTACACACTATTAAAAAAATTACAATAAAAAAACTAAGAAGGAAACAAAAAGACCAAGAACACATCCTCTCCAGCAGCCAACAATCAGATAAGCAGGGATTAACACCAGGCAAACAAGCAGAAATCAATACCCTAATCAAGGAACTACCAAGGAGAAAACCACATGCCCACCAACACTGGCAGGGCAAGCTACTGTATATAAACAGGGAGAAAACCCCACACTCACTTGTACTGGTGATGTTACCTAGTTGGGTAATGAAACGTCTGCAAGCAAACAGCCAATCTCAGAGAGCACCAAGGACTCCATAAATGTACGTCTCCAGAACTCCACATTACGTTATAGGCTATTCAGCAAGCGGAGGACCTCAAGCCCTTTTGTCAATTGGTTTGATTTTCAGCAATTTCTTTACTTTACCCACATAACCCTGAATAGTGTACCTTGTCACTGTAATTTTATTTGTGTGTGTTAGTACTAATTAGTGGGAATGTACTGAATGATATCAGTGATGATACCAGAAGTGAAAAATTTCTCACATATGTAACCAATCTTCCATAAATTGAGGCTATGAAGTGAGGCCTACCTTTTGCCAGCCATTCCCTTTTAAGTACATGTTTTAGATTTTCTTTTTACTGTTTTTGTAAACTTCATTGTGGCCCAAAATCAAGATATATAATCTATAAATGACTAAATATATTCCCAGGCAATTGATGTTTATGTCATGCTACTGACCACAGCCTCTTACACTGATCCATGTTAAAATAAAGTGTGCTGAGACATAGCCTAAAACTCCACATCTAGTCAATCTAGCCAGTTCTATAAAATGTGTTAATGAACTGGACAAGGGCCAATAAATTGAATCTCAGATCATACAAGATGGGCTGTTGATATGTCTGCCTGGCTTGTGGGCAGGGGGCCCTAAAAAAGACTATATTCTTCCTAAAGCAAGTAGAGACTGGATGTGTCTCATAATGCATTAGTAGCACAAGCTGCCTCTGTGGCACGAGACAAATTCTCCGGCTTAAGCTGGTAGCACTTCCTGTAACTATATCTAAACTGAGATGCTTTGGCCTCATAGTTTCATGTCCCTTTTACTTTCAGACTAGACTATTTTGATTTTGTAAATGTAAAAGTCCTTTTATTGATGGTTCAGAAAGAGTATTTAATCCAAGATACAACTGCAAGACTGTTAATTAGAACATGATATTTTGGTAATTTTTTATGGAATATATGTACCTTCATATACAGTAAAATCTTCAGAAGATGCTCTTGTTTTCCTCATGTTTTCTGAGGCATGGCAAATGTTAAGAGTGGAAAAGGCTTATTCAGTTGTGATCCTTGACTATGAAATCTCTCCCAAGCAAACTTCATCTACCTTGATGTTATTTAATAACTAATCAAACATTTATTCTTATTTTCTTTGGCATGATAATCTTCTGTACACTGATTGAATGATGATTAGTGAATTTTGCATTACTATATAACTCTTTTATATTGTATACTTTGCTGTTTTTGCTGTATTTTAATTTTACCTGAAGAAGGTGGAATATAATTTTAATCATTGAAGGTTAGCTGTAAGTGAAATTAATTTTAAAAAATATTGAACCCTTAGAGTGATTCTTACGATGAATCTGAAATGAGTTTAGGTTTTGTTGTTAAGTGTGATTTTGTTGCATTCTAGCCTGTTTATAAAACTAAAAATATAAAGTTAATATTATAAACATAGTGTTGCTGATGTAATTGCAGGGGTATGGTCACAGCCTCGTCATATTATAATAAGCTCTAAAATAGTGGAATTGTATTGGGATGAGCCAAAAAAACCCAATGGAATTGTCATTCAATATAGATTATTTTGTAATGGAGAAGAGATTTTAAAAGGTGGTAGAGAAAATCTGAATTTCACTCATTCCGCCGTGCAACCAAATAACAGGTAAAATGTCACTTATTTGAGAAAGGATGTTGTTTAATTTTTTATAATATATCTTGATATATGCTATTTTAAAATACATTGGAGCTCAACCCAACTGTTACAAGACTATGCAGAGATGTAGATTTGATGGGCAAAATATGATCTGGAACACACATGGGCAGGCATGTAGCACCTGTTGGGAACACCTTAAACCAAACATGTCCAGATGGCAGCCACACAAACCCAGGAAAAGAGAAAACTGTTCCAGGTAGGTGCTGCATAGGGGCCTATGTGTGCTCCAAGCACATCAAGCCTTTTGAATCAGGATCTCTGCATAGCCTAAACTGTTGGCCCCAAGTACGGATGTCTCATGTAAATTAATACTGTAGTCATAATGACATTGAATACAGTCCCCATGAACTTCACATAAAAAGACCTTGCTATTTTATGGAAAACATGTCTTACAGCTAGCCATGGCAGACTAATAAGTAGCCCATTGGGCCTTCCAGGAAAGCTTTCACCTGGTCACAGTTAGGTTGATCCAAGTATACAATGTCTAGAGTTATTTCAGCTTGTGCTTTTATTGGCATGATATGGAAATGGTTTGCCATGAGTTTCTTCTGGAATCTGTTTTCCTAGTCTAGTCTATAGCTCTGCAAAGCCAAAGTGGTTCTCTCTTCACATGTTTATCAGAGCTGATCCTGCTTAGTTTCTAGATTAGCCAGGGCTGGCTAGGTGTTTCCACCCATTGTGATTACCAATCAATCATAACTGTCATATTGTAATATTTCTAATTAAGCCATGCAAAATGTTCAGCAATACAGTCATAATACTGCTGCTGATTTTATTTACAGATATTTGTTTTGTCAATCCAGCTACAGCTACCATGAGTAGATGGGCTTTTGTTGCAGAAACCCCAATTTTTTAAAATATGTACTGCATGAAATGAAGGAAAAACAAGATTATGGCAGAGATTATAGTAGGTTTTTTTCTATGCACACCCAGACAAATAAATCTTTGGTACAGTTAGCTTGTTAGATATTGATTTGTTAGATTTACATCCCATCTTTCATCTAGGCACAGAAGTTGATATGCATAGTGTTTCCTTCTCCACTCTTTTCTCTACAACAACCCTGTGAGATAGCTTGATCTGAGAGACAGTGAGTAAAGTCCCTCAGGCAGAAAAGATGTTAAGTAGGTCTCCTTGATCCTAGTCCACCTTATACTACTCATATGCATGATGGCCAAAGAGTAAGCACTTATTTCAAGTGCCTGCTTTTTACACGTAACCACAAAATAGATGGATTAGGCTTCTGTGTTAAGAGAGAGAGAGAAAGTCATATGACACACACATAAATGGTGGACATTACATTATGCTGGAATCTGATAAATGTAACGAATGCTAAAATAATTGTAAAAAATCTTTATATTGATTCTCTTGGGTTTGTTTCTCTTCTGTCCTTTCTTTCCCCTCCCACCTTCATGTGTATTTATAGATATGTTTACCAGCTAGAAGCCAGAACGTGGGGCGGTATCAATACCAGTGAAAAATATATTGTCCAGACACCAGTAACAACACCAGAGGAGATTCTTAAACCATATAATATCACAGTAATTAATGCATATTCTATATTTGTAGCATGGGACATTCCTGGTAAGCATGTGTAATATATAGTAAATTTAGAACATCATAGACTACTTATGTATCTGTTTCAGTTATTTATCATTTCCTGTGCTTGGTTTCCATTATATAAAGAGGCAGAATTAGAAGCTGTGTTGATACAAGGACATATCCTAAGGCAGATATAAATATATTAGGAAAAGTTATCAACTGTACATAATAGCAGTAGAGGACCACCTTTTGGATTTTTCTGCCTTAGGCGCTAAAATGACTTAAGTCATTTGTAACAGATGATAAACCTATTAATGAAATAATTAAGCAATACAGTCAGCTGTGCTCTGTTCAAATATAAAAGATGCCACATTGTGGATTTAATTTAATGGTGGACATGCAGTTATACTAGTGGTTTTTATATCTTAGATCTAATTAACTGATTCATTAAAATTGGCTTCAGAACAGGATGAAACAGTGATAACCATACTTTTTTTTGTTTCCCGTTCTACTGAATGCAAAGTACATTCAACCATTGTGACAACAAATTAAACACAGAGCTTTCCTATATGAGTTCAGATACATTCAGAGGTCACATAAATGCTAAGTTCTTTGTAATGAGAAGTGGCATTGGAAGATATGGGGGGGGGGGAGAGGATAGATAGATAGATAGATAGATAGATAGATAGATAGATAGATAGATAGATAGGGAATATTCCATATCATTTGTGTGAGGCTGAACTTTTCACATTCAGGATAATCAAAACAAGAGTCATATGTGTTGTAAAATATAAACAATTTTGCATATTCAGGCAAATGTAAGCTCATTATGTGCTTTAGATATGTTCATAACTAATATTGTTATTTATTTTAAGAAGTAATATTAGTATATAACAAATTGCCTGTTTTATAATTTAGGATTTTTTAAAAAGTCTATTATCTTCTGTTATAAAAAATATTCAACTATATTGATATGTATAGCTAAAATATAATAACCATTTTAATATTCAGTATTTATCTCAAATTATTTAAAATATTTACACCTTGCACAAAGGTCACAGGATGAGAAGATAATATAAAAACATTAACTATAAAGTTACCTGGTAAACATTTACATTCATGCTTGGAATAGTAAATATTACTGTGATGTCCACTGAATCAATTCTTAATAGATCTATAATATCCTGAGCTGTCAATCTTTTAGTTTTCAGAAGCACAAAATCCATTATAGAAATGCTATAATATATGAAAAAGATTAAAATCTTAAATTAAACTCACTCCCACCCCCACCCCCACTCCAGTACTGCCTAAAAGGATTTAAAAACCCAGGGAGAAGGTGGATGAATTTGACTTATAATCTACAGCTGATTTCATTGGAAAGTGTCCTGTACTGTCTCAGTTTTGATAATAAGTTTCTGTGAAAGCTTTGAATATTCACTCTTAACAGCCCAATCTCTATGCAGATCTAGCCCTGGCTAAAGTGATTGTGTGTGGAATTCTCTAAATAATCAGGTTGTTTACACAAAGAATTTTAAAAGTAAAAAATAAGCTACCAGATATGCCCTGCAAACATCTGGATGATCTCTAGCTATACAGAATACCCTAACCTCTGGTGCCATTTGCTAGACATCTGTATTAATGCAGTCTTGATATGGTAGCCCTAGTCAAAAAGGAAAGCTAGCTCTGTATGATCAAAATAAGGGCCTCCCTCTGTTCTTTCCTTTCCCTTTTTTCTGTTTGAATTTTATACAATTGATATGTTTTAAAGATAAGAAATTACAGTAGATTCACACAGTTTAGTGCACATTGCTATGCGGGAAGTGAATGTAAAATCTCTGATGCTAGGGATATGGGAACAGATAATTGCAGTCAGCTGTCATCTTTTGTTTTCTTTTATGCGCTTCCTGGGGTGCCTGACAAGGACACAGATGGGGGCACTATAGGATCCTGGTTTGATCCAGGATTTTTCTATACTTAGACATGTTAATAACATTTGAAACAGAAACTTGCCCATCACTTTCAAAGGACAGTCCAATTACCAGCATTTTTCTATGGGGAGTGAGGAGAAAGGGTGATAAGAAGCTCTTGCTTAGAAATTAATGTGCTGAGTAAGTACAGCATAGTTCACTCACACATCAAGAATTCAACCCTGTCATTGACATCTGAAACAGCTGATAGCCATATGTATTTGTAAAGCTTGTATGGATTCCCAATAACACTGAACAGTATTTTAAAAGAACTTACTTTTCTTCAATTGTTCATAATTTCAATTTTGGTGTCAATTTTTCCCTGTCTAGCATGTCCACTGTCCTTTGTCAGATGCAGTGTATGATAAGCAACTACTGCACTCCTGGAGTGGTGGTAGATGAGTGTACTTGGCTCCCACCCACAAACCTGTGAGTCAGGGATTGCAATGCAAAGGTTTCCTCTTCTTTTTTTGCAAAACAAGCAAAGAGTGATTCATGTGTATGCATGTATGTCCATGTATTTTAGGTACCTGCTTTTTGCTACACTGATAATTTGCTGGGTGATCTGCTGAAGATGGTTGGGAACCGTAGTCCAGATTAAAACAAGGAAAAAAAGGAAGCTTACATCAATAATCTACCTGTTCCTTCTTTAATCAGGAATTCCAAATAACAATGCATCTTAAGGAATGGTTAAGCTTCCCTCTTGTTGCTGATCACAAAGTGGATCCATTAGGCTTATTATCTGACAATTAAGTGGAAATCTATTGTTTGGAGGAGTGGGCTTATTTCTACAAAAGTTCAGTAACAAAAGGGTAGAGAGAGAGATTTCTAAGACACAGAATGCTGTGATAGACTGAGGATTTGCAGAGTGATGTTGACCAAGAGATCAACAGCTGAGAACTTGTTTGTCAGAAAAGATGGCACAAGAAAGTCCTTTTACAAGAATCCTGATAAGTAGATATGAGGCCTTGCTATATCTTTGCAAGATTGCCTATGAAAAGCTAAAATTGTAAAGGAAAGCCAACCCATAGAAATGAGGCCTGAGACACCAGCCAGGATTGCAGTTGGGAGGTACTGTGAGGAGACAGGTGGTGATAGGACCACTTGAGAGTAGTACAGTATTCCTCCCTACATAATAACTATTATATCATGACATTACATGTCCTGCAGGAAGTACTCGTGCCCATTGAATCTTTCTCGTTATGGGTTGAATCTTATTTTCTTTAGAGTTTACTTTTTCCATGGATAATTCCTCTATTACGCTTTTAATACTTCATACAGAAATAATATATTTCTTTCTTTTATATTCAAAGATCAAGCTTTAAAATAAGGATTGGCAGTGATTCTCCCACCAAGATAGTCATTTCAATTGATATTGTCTCTTGGAATAAAATTACTTTTTATTCATCAAATGTTAATGAGAGGCTAGTTGGCCACAGAATCTTCCTTCTATGAAAAGAAGCTACATTTTGGGATTGGATCCCCTTGTCTTCTGGAATAAATTTAGATCACATAAGGACCCACTAGTTTAATAATGAACTACATATCCATTGAGTCTTCTTTTATTTTACTTAGGATGTTTCAACCACTGTGGTATCTCTAAATTCCAAAGTTTTATAGATATAATAATTCAAAACCCCTCTCTTACCTAAGTGGCAAGATGTAAAAGCAGTGGTTAATCAGTTAAGGAAGGGAAAGATGCTTGAACACACTTAACTTAGAAAGGGTGGTAGAGTGATTGAGATACAAAGACCCCAATTCTAATCTACCCTCAGCTGCAGCAGCTGCATGAGTGATCTCTCAGTTCAACCTACCTCACAAGTTTGTTGTTGTCAAAGGAGATGTCACAAGAGATGCATCCAGAGCTGCTATTGATAGTACTATCAATGACATTGACTTATTTTAAAGCATATTTGCAGCTATTTCTGCATGTTTGGCAAGATTGATCACTCTATGGTGTTTTTCCATACAATCACCAAATGCTTCTTGAAAGGCTTGCCTTCTAGTTCAAAAGCTTACCCCAGTTCCAAATTTGACCTCAGCATGGGATTTAACTGTGGGTCTCACTGCTTTCCTTTCAAAACTGTTTAACTGTTTAACCCTAACCCTATCCAGTTTCTTTCATTTGAGATTGTTTTCTTCATGGTCATTATATCAGTCTGGCAAGCTGAAGAGATGTATGCATGGCAATACATACCCCTAGGTATACATTCCCCATACCTAGTAGGATTCCATGAGACAAATTGTCATGAGGCTTCCACCCATGATAGTTTCTGATTTCCAGCCATCCTTACCTTTTCTAACCTGAGATTCTGTTGGAATGCATCCTCCAAATTTTAGGTACTAGAATGAGTTTTGAGGGTTGATAAAACCACACCTTGTTTTTGCTATGAGAGATTTTTCCTTTGTTACAATGAAGCAGAGAAATGGCTTTCCAGTATCTTCCCAACATTTCACCCGATAGGTTCAAGAGGTTATCCTTTAATGTTACAGATTAACTGAACTGCCAGGTCTTTGCCATTTGAACTTCTCTATAATATTTAGGGTATCTCCTCTGAATGCCCTCTGTTTCATTCATTACTATACTTGCAGCATATATCACTGTTGCTTTAAAACCAAAACTAGAAGCTGGGCAAATTATTGTTAATATTAGTTAGCAATTGTTCTCTTAATAAATAATAATAATTTATCAATCATTTTGCCTTCCTTCTCTAGCTAACATTTCCAGATCTAATACTCTGTGCTTGCTCTATATTTGTACATGATAGTTGCCGTGCCGGAGAGAATTATAAAATTGACACTATACAGAATTTTTGTAGCAGTCAGAGCACAGTGGAATTACACAGTGCATTGCTAATGTAAAATGCATCTAGACATGATCTCATTTGTCTAGGGTGGGGGGTTTTGTTTTTGTTTTTGAGAAAATAAAAATTTTGGTTTGAATATTTAGCATTAATCAAGTTACTTTAAGTAGTTAATAAGGTAGAGCAATATATTCTAGTTTTATGGCAATATAGGTATATAATAATAAATCTTAATGGAAACAAACCTTTTCTTTTATATTAATCCAAGACATGAAACCCATTTAGGTAAAACTGTGAAAGATTTAAGGACTGGATCTGGAACACCACCATTTCAGGTTTAATTGAGGAAGTATATTTCAAAATTAACAGCTTCTATTACCCATTGACTTCATTAATGTCTCTAATCAAGAATCTTCAACAGAACATTTTAAAAATTTATTTTTATTAAATATTTTCCTTATAGGACATCTTTGTTTTAAAATGAATATTAAACAATTCGAGATCCCTTTTCACTGACTTGTCCATTTTTCACTGTCCAAATACAAAAAAAAAGGGGGAGGGGAAATCATCAAGATGTTGTTTGATTGACTTGTCCTGTTACAAAATATGCACCTGCCATGCAATGAAGTCATGGAAGAAAAAAAGTGGAATAATTTAACTTTTTTATTTGTAAAGATAATCAGGGTTTTCTGATTACATCTTAACTTCATAAATGTTAAATAACCTATCAGCATCTAGTTGTTGTAAATTATGAAAAGGAGTATTGCTGGGAATATTAACCAACTAAATCCTTGTTCTTTAGTGAACATGAAAATGCATTATGGCAGGTTGTCATTGTGCTCACGGTAACTTTGACACCAAATAACAAAACTGCCATTTGCACTTAGGGTAAATTAGTTCACTTATGCTTTTACTGTTCCTTTTATTCTGACATAAATGTATGAACTCTGGAACTAACCAAGTCATGTGGTTTCCCCACTGACTTTAACAAATCTGCCCATTTCATTCCATTCCCTCGTCAAAACATCAGCGCTACAGTAAATTCAAAATCACTGCATGTATTTTAAAATATAGGAGGTTTTCTTCCTATCATTGCCTAGGAAGCTTTGCTTTTCTCATTTTCAAAAAACACCAGCTGATAAGTCCAATTCCACATGTCACTGTTTCTACTTCCCAGTCCCTTCAAACATTTTATTTATTTATTTATAAGAATCCCCCCCCCAATTTTATTATTGTTTTTATAAATAAGGTGGAGAACATACCTAATACTCCTTCCTCCTCCTATTTTCCCCACAACCTCCTGCGAGGCG